ACACCTTAGACTGGTCCATGAAGTTTGACATATATTGCTTTGAAACTTGTAAAATAACATGTTAGATTCACCCGAAACTTGAATACGTCGATAGCCCTGATCCTCAGCTCTTTGGGACCAATCTTGGATTTTCAATCCGACACCTCTGAGCTTCAAAACTCGCAATTGACTCCGGCGCCAAAAAGGATACACCAAACACTGGTCGTTTACGTTACAGTACTTACAGTTTTACAGTGTAATCGATATATTTGGCGAATCTGCACAAAAGTCCAAATTTTGGGTAAAAGGAAAATATATGTTTCGCAACATCCGGATAGCTGAACCACACAACTAAAAAGACCAGCACTCCGTCCGCATGCATTCCGATACGCGAAGTCTTCTATGCAACATCGTACAATTGGCTAAATTATAGCGAATCAAAACAGGATTTTTAGGTTAACTAATTTGGATTGGCTAATATTCCACGAATCACCCACCAAAGTAGCTGAAACAGTGTTTACGCGCTGGTGCGTTGCCCATTATCCGGATGCTTTCCGCGCAGTTCACGCCAACAGAACCCAAGTCGGACATCGCAAGTCAGTGTGTCGGGATGGAGCACACGACGGTCTGCGTGAACAAGTATACCCTCCAGTTCGAAGATGCCAATCTAGAAGCGTCCTTCCAAGCATTCAGCCACACCCGCAAGAAGACGCTGTGGCTGCGGTCGCTCATTCCCGCGGCGATCAGCCACCTTGTATTCGCTTGGGGCGACAGCCTCGAGCATGACCCGTCCCGTCTCCAGGTCACACTGCCCGCGCGTCTGCTGCTTATCGTCATGCAGTGCTCGACGTACTTTCTCGTGAAATGGGTACGATGCGTCATGCAGCATGAACAAGATGGTACGTACGTACTTACTACATGTATCGTAGGACCTGGTCAAGGCCGACGAGCAGCTCATGTTCGCGTTGGCGCTGTGTCATGGCATCCCCACGCTGCTCTTATTCACTTTGCAGCACGCGATGCTCCATCAATGGGATGCGCTCTTTGTCGTGTTTGGCCTGTCGTTCTACACGATTCCCAAGGTCACGCCGCTGGGGTTTGTGTATTCGACGATGGGCAGCACCATCACGATGGTCGTATACTTTGCCATTGCGCTGTTCTGTCGACCCCCTCCCGATAAAGTCAGCTCCATCCATCTTCATCTATCTTCACATGCTATTTTGCATTAGATTGAGATTGTCCTCGCGTTCCTGTACTGCGCGCCCGTGATTTGGATCTTCAACACAATCTCCTACTACTCCGAGTACAGCTCCCGCGAACGCTTTGTCCTGCGCCAACGCCTCTCCAACGAGCGTATCTCCCTTGCGGTACCGCCGCCACCCATTTCTCCATTCAGACAACGTCGAATCCCCATCATACATCCATGACATGTAGGTGTCCCGGACTCTGCATCCTTCGTCGGCATGGACGTCCACTTCTCGCCACCCGCCAGACGTCAGCGGCACCACGCTGTTCCTCGGCGTCCTACTCTGGGGCGTGTTCACATTAGGCAGCTTCGCGTCGGTCCCAGATACGTTCAAGTTTGTGGACGAGGAGACTGGGTGGGCTTGGTTTAGTCATATTGCGGGCGTCACCGTCTTCTTGCTTGTTATCACACGACGGGTACGCCTTGATATGTACCTGCTCTCCATCTAGTTGATCACTTAGTATATAGTATGGTCGACGAGATCTATTACGTTTGATCCTTACGTGCATTGTGTTGTGTGTGTGGTAGCTAACGCTACTCGTGGTGGTGCCGCTCACAGGCGCAGGTATGTTGGTTTTGACCATGTATTTGTGCAGAGAAATAAAATATATATATATATATATATACATGTAACTAATACTACGTAGTATA